TTTCAAACTCCACAAGTACATTTTCACATAGAGATTGTTTAAAAAATTAATTTTTACTTTCAAAATATGAATCAGCATACCGATTTTACCTAAAAAGTGATTTTACATTAATCAAATTTTTGTTTTATGTTGAGGTGAAAGGTCAAACACGTTTTCTTGATTTTCTCCGTTCGACAAAAATGTCACTTGTGTTTCTTTTACTTTGCACGACAGATATGAACTTCCTACAAAATGGTCCTTGTCACAAACATATGAAATAAATACGAGTATAATTTTAAAAAATCAGGAAATAATGATGAATATCAATCATTTAATAAAATTCTTTTTTTACCTTGGAGCACACACTCAATACAGACGTGTTACAGCAAATATCTCCAATCCACGCGAAATATTTAAAAACTGAATTATAATTTAATATTGATTAACATTATTATAAATCTATATTGTTAATTTAATATAAATAATATTAATTTTAAAGAAAAATTATTAGTTACTTATTATTATTTATAGTTAGTTTATTATTAGTTTAATTCATTTTCAGATTATGTTCAAATAATTAAAATTTCAGTAAAACTTCTGTTAACTAATCTGTCAACTTTTTGGACATGTCAATTACTGAGACAGGTCAACTACTGGGACATGTCAATTATAGGGTCATGTTAACTAATGGGGTTTATACTACGGACAGACGGACGCCAAAGTGAAACTATAAGGCTTTCGGCCATGGGCCACGAAACTCTAAAAATGAGCCACTAGTTACTATTATAATTAGTTATTTTTTACTACTTTAAATTTGAATTAAATTTTATAATTGTTTTAAAAGTTTGTTCATTTGTAAATTATCACATTGATTCGATTACTTTTGAACATAATTTTAATTTAATGATAATTTGGCTCTGTTTTTACTGAAATCTACATTACACTATTATTTATTACTTACCGAACATTAAAATACAAGTTTTTACAAATAAAAAAACATATTGTCTTTAGAAATATAAATGTTTCATTGAATAAAATTTTTGTAAAATATTCTAAACTAAAGAAATATTTAATAAAATTAAGGCAACAATATTATTTATAAAAAGTTTTTTACATTTCATAGAAATAAAATTTTTAATGAATAAATCATATATAAATTTTTGACTTTAAGAATATAAGTTCTTGCAACTACATTTTCAGTACCGCGCCAATGTTTACTTGCCGGAATTTGGTAAAACTGTTTATTCTGTTCTGCGTCAAGATTCGACTGCCAAGACTTGGCATAAGTATGGCAGAACTAATTATTCTGTATTGCGCCAGAAAGTGCTGGCAGAACCAAGGGTTATCCCTGTTGAAAATTCCTATGTGAGAACACATATGGGATCCCATCCAGGATGTAAAAGCAATAACACAGGATCCCATGAGGTTTCCTGTGTAGGTTCCTATATGAACAACACGATAAATAGGAACACACATGGGATCTTATCCGAGATCTTTTATGAGTTCTTACATAGGTTCTCACATATAAGAAGATTAATAGCAGCTTAATAAGATTTTTGTTTTAAATTTGCAAGTGAACCTAGCGATAGTTACAAATGAATGTTTTAATGAATGTTTGCTTATAACCTATTGATAATCTTCATATCTGCATATTTGTCACATTTATCATATTTTAGCATACGTTAAAAGTGTTAAAAGTTACTCAAAATGAGTCTGGTCAGAATTTCCAATTTTTAAATTGGCAACAAATTCAAATTGATTTTAAAAGTAAATAGTTTTTCTTATCTTTGACTAATACTAGATAGATTTTTAAACACCAGTAGAAATATTTAGTGATTACTAAGTAAAAAAATAAATTATTGTTTATTTAAACTATAATTAATTTATAAGTTTTCAATTTTAGCGCCTTTATTTAAGTTGGCAATACCCTGCTTTCTGTCAAAACATATGTATTCTCGTTCCTAACCTATAAAAATATGTTTTTCTTTGAATACGATTATAAGCAATTGCTTATCAAATTAAATAATATAATAAGTATTAGCATGTTACTTTAATTAAATAATTATTATATTTTATAGATTAGTATAGAACTATTTGTTATTTGACACAATTTTTCATATTTCCTTAAAACTCAAAATAAGTCTGGCATGACTCATGTTTCATGATTAATAGTGATTATAATCACTATTAATCATGGTCGCTATAATTGTATCAGAAATAACTCGTGAGAATACACTAGAATACCACATTTTAATCCGTTTGGTTGAAAATTGTAAAATTAAACGGGTGTGACCCCCTTTTTTGAAAATTTCAATTTTTCTGCAAAAAACATTATTTAAATCAATGTTAATCGGGTTTGACATAATTTTTTTGTAATCTTCGGGTAAAAATACAACACTAGAACCAAGATATAGAAAATTTCATTGTAATGCCTGTGCTTGAGAGAGGATAAAGAGGCCATTTCGTCCACCAAATCGTGTATTTTCATTAAAAACTCATTGAAAATGAATTCCAATCTTGTTTCTCGTATTTTTTTCGTAAAGTTCATGTCAATTTTGAAGTCAATCTTTTTATTAGATTTTTTACTAGAGCTTAATGAAATTGGACGAAGGGACAGGCAAAAACAATAGAGTTTCTGTTGTACACTTCGTGTACGAAATCCTAACAACGCGACATATTGATAATAACGTTTAAACAAGCATAAAACTGTGATTAGAGTATAAAATTAAGGATCTTGGTCGTGGAAAAAATCAGTCGGTCATGGAATCTCCCGTTCTATAAATACAAAATAATTCTACTAGAAAGTAAGAAATTATATTAATTTTAAATTTTATGGCAATCTGAAACATAAGTAAGGTGAAATATTGGAAATTACGTTTAAAAAAGCATAAAACTGTGATTCGAGTATAAAATTAAGGTTGGTCGTGGAAAAATCAGTAGGTCGTGGTGTTTCCCGTTCTATAAGTACAAAATAATTCTACTAGAAAGTAAGAAATTATATTTATTTTATATTTTATGGCAATCTGAAACATAAGTAAGGTGGCATATTGGAAATTACGTTTAAAGAGCATAAAACTGTGATTAGAGTATAAAATTAAGGTTGGTCGTGGAAAAATCAGTAGGTCGTGACGTCTCCCATTCTATAAGTACAAAATAATTCTTCTAGAAAGTAAAAAATTATATTTCTTTTATTTTGTATGACATACTGTAACATAAGAGAGGTGGAATATTAGTAATTACGTTTAAAAAAAGCAAAAAACTGATTCGAGTATCAATTTAAGGTTGATGGTCGTCGAAAAATCTGTCGGTAGTGGAATCGACTGTTCTATAAATTCTAACTAATTCCACTAGATACAGGGTGGCGAATGAAAAATGTTTTTAAAATTCCCTGTCTTTTCCCTGACCAAAAAAGAAAATTCCCTGACTTATAATCTTAAACATATTTATTAGTCAAAAAAGCAATGTAATTTTTGGATAAAAAATTTTTTTTAATAATTCTTTTTAAGGAATATATTAAACTTTAGTATCATTTTTATTATTTGAAATTAAATTTAATAGTAAAAGTAATATTAAACTTTAAACACTTATAAACATTTTTGACAGTAAAATTGAAAAACAAATAAATAACAAGTTAAAGTTTTCTTAAACCTTGAATTTGATTATTCAATACATCGATTTCCTTTAAATTCCCTGATTTCAGACAAAATTCCCTGTCTCTTCCCTGACCATTAGAATACCCTGCCTATTCCCGGTTTTCCAGGTCGCTCGCCACCCTGTAGATAGAAATAAATTATATTTATTTTATTTCTGATGAGAATTTGTAACATAATAAAGGTCAAACATTGCTAAGAAAGTTTGAAAAGGCATTAAGTTGTGATTAGAGAATAAAATTAAGGTTGGTCGTGGAATCTCCCGTTCTATAAATACAAAATAATTCTACTAGAAAGTAAGAAATTATATTTATTTTATATTTTATGGCAATCGGAAACATAAGAAAGGATGTTGGTCGTGGAAAAATCTGTCGATCGTGGAATCTTATGTTCTATAAATTCTAACTAATTCTACAAGATAAAGTAAGTATGTCAATTTCTACGCGGCTTTAGTCACGTTAACTTTTAAATGAAAATACGATATTTCTGTTGAATAAAATTAACTTATAACTTGTTGCATTAATAGTTCATGTCATTTAGATATTTAAAAAAAATTAAAACCCTTTAAAAATACATTATTTAAACAAATTTAAACAATTAAAAGGTAAATCTAAATTTTGTAATACTTCGTTTTTTATCAGTTTCTAGAATTCTAGACCTGAGTAGGTTCTATAAAAAAGATTTTTTCAACGAATTCGTACTTAAACTTGATTTTCATATCCATACTAAGATACTTATGGGCCAAATTTTCTCCATAAAATTTGACCTATTTGCACAAGGTGTTAAACGAACTATTTCTTCTAGGAAAGCGTGCTTAAATTTAAATTTTATTTTCATAAATGAATTCAAGCTTTTATATAATTAGAAATTGATTTAAATATTGTAAATATATTTTTGTCATACTTGTTCTGAAAGTAAGAAAAAGGTCACATTAATAGTATAAAATAACTGTCAGATTTATTTTTGTCTTTGTTTATATGAATAGCTATAATTTTCAAGCGTTAGGGATATTCAAAGTCAAAATGGATTATCAAACAAAATCTATTATTTAAAATCCTTTCAGGTTGCCATTTTTAAGGTGTCATTTTGAATTTTTGAAAATTTTTTTTATAAAAGATTCGAAATAAAATTTTCTAAAGGTCTGAATAAATAATTTCATAATAAAAATTGAAGATCAGATTCAGATTCTGTTTTCAGATTCAGCGGCCTTAAAAAATTTGTAAATTAATTTGGGACAGAGGAAGATAAAACTGGTACATTAAAGTTTATGTTTTAAAGAATATATTTATACGTATTAAAATTTTAATACGTAAACACTTTATAATTAAATTGCAATACTGCAATAATACTGTTATAAAGTTCTTTCAAAATTATAAAAGGCACGGAAGACCTAACAGAAGCATAAAATTGTTTTTGTTTATAGAATACAAAACGATTTAAATAAAATAAGTAATTATGAAAACCATTTGATGGTTAATAGTAACAAAAATAAAAACTTTCTCAATAACTTTCTTACAACATTTTCTTCTTATTCATGTAACTATAAATCCAAGTCTTAATTGAAGCTGGATTTTTCTTTTCCAGGCATTTTGTTCGTCCTTGTAGTTTCGATATATCTCCTAAGGATGGCAGTTTTCCAGCTGTGATATTGCATTCGAATTCATTTAAAACTGCCTTTATTTCTTCATCGGTCCACCGATTTCTCACAATTTTCTGCTTCTTACTTGAATCTACAATTTGACGTTGATAAAATTGAATCGTATATAAGAGAGTTCAGATTATTTTTCTATGGTTAACTTTTCGTGAATATTAATTGTGTTACAAGCATCATAATTACCATGAATTTTCATATTTGATTTTTTTAAACAACTTTAAAATTTTATTTGCCATGTTAATTATAGGGTCATTTAGGGTAAATGTAAACAAGGGGTAAATGTAAACTGTAGCTATTGGAGGTTAATTTACAGATATTTAAAATTAAGTACGACATCAATATTTTAACCTCATGTCACCTGCTCTTGCAGGTTTTGAGTATTGGTAGTATTTTATTTTGACAATTGACAAACCCTTATGAGTTTGTTTGTCTTATGAGTTTTTATCAAAAATGCTCAAAACGCTTAATTTTTGTTATAATTAATTAAATTGTGATTATTCAATTATTATTATTTATTTTCAACGGATTTTTTTCAAGTTTTTCTATCCCGTAATGCAGTAGTAAACTTAAAATAACTTTTTTCTGAAACATTTCGGAGAAATACAGCTGTTTACATTTACCCCGAGATTTTGCAATTTTTGCAAAATTTCCGGCTAAATGTAAACAGCAGTTGTTAGCGATTCAAGGTTACCTGTATTTTCTAATACCCCATAAAATTGTTCTATAGAGCTCAAGTAATAAGTTAATGCAAACGAAAACCGTAAGTATTGCTTTTTAAAATAAAAAACTTACGTTATTGTCGAAACTAAGCAATTCCGTTTACATTTACCCCGATTGACACTTTAAAAATTAATTTTGCTGTTTTAAAAGTAAAACAGTTGGAAATTTGGTTTTAACTTTGCTAGAAAGTTGAAATGTCACTAGGTGAACTGCAAAGAATTACCCTATTGAGAAGCAAAAAACAATTATCCTAATAAACAGCACTGATGATTTCCATAACGTTGCATTATCATTTCCTTCAACGAAAGCGGGCGGCGTTAAATTATTTCTAGTTTGCTTCCAGTGTGAGCTTGAAACCATTTCAATGTCCGATGGTCGAAATGCTCGTTTCCTATGTAAATTTACTATCGTGCGTAGTAGTTTTCCTTAATATTAAGGGCTGCACAGTTAATTTTTTTGGACTGACACGTAAGGTCTAACGATGTTTTGGTAATAATACAATATAATTTATTGTTAAGAATATTTTTTGTTTTAACAAATTATTTTTTAGTAAGAAATCCTAAATTTACATGGGAAACGATTACATATATCCACCAAATGACATTGTGATGTTTTCAGGCTCACAATGAAAGCAAACTGGAAATGATTTCACGTCCCTCGCTTTCGTTGCAGAAATTAGGGGAATGATACAAGCATTCAGCATCTCCTATAAACGTTTTCATGACTTTTATTACATAAAAACCATATTCACAACTACGTAAGTGATTCTATAATAACTGTTTTTTTAGTTTGCTATGATAACGATTGCAGTGACAGCAGTTGCCCAGGTAACTGTTTCAATAAAGTAAATTTATGAACATAGTTTTGATTGGATATAAAGAAACATATTTTTATAGTAAAGGAAAGATTTTTTCAATTTAAAAATAGTTGCTCTAATATAGCTCATGTTTTTTTGTATATATATATACACACCTCTGTTAGAATGAGCTTCTCGAGAACCTTTAAATTTCTTACTTTCGTGCTTGATCACTTTATCATGAGCGGATTTACTGACAGATTGACATGCGGCTTCACTGTAGGATTCACTGTCGGATTCACTGGCGGATTCACTGGCTTTCCTCTTTCTATTTCCAACTAGTTATAAAAAAATTAATATTTATTTAATATTATATTAATTAAATTAATGAATTAAATTTTCGTTCTGACATTGACACTGCAATTTACAAGAGAAAAAATAGATCGAGAGAAAAAATTATATTGCGATTTACGCTCAAGCGGATAGTAAATACTGCACTTACACACCTATGCGTGACTTGCAAACAATCCATACCAATATAGCATGGAGTTATGTTATGATAGCATCAGGCTCGGGGGTTTTTCGCATCAACTGTAGTAATTTTGCTTACTAAAATCATGGAAAATGCAGAAAACATCGGGAATTTTTGTCACAGAGTGAGGAAACTTCTCAAGAAGCGGCCACAGCTCGACTGCCTGCCTGCCTGCGGACAGACGAGTTAAGGAGGCGGCATGAGTGAGCGAGAAGAAAAATTTAAATTTGAATTTTCTTTCTAGCTTACTCTCACGTCGTGCCCCTTTCTCCGTCTGCCCGCAGGCAGACAGGCAGCCCAGTGGTGACCATGCCTTAACTGTGCGACTGACCACGTATAGTCGATTTCGTTTGATAATAATTTTTAATTTTTATAATAAACAATAATTAAGAATAATTTTACATTTAATTGACAGTTTATAAACTCTAATAAACACTTATAAAAAGAATAATCATTTTATAACAAAATTTGAAAAATTTATGAGGGTGAGAAATTTCCTCAACTGCGACCAACCTCGTTACAAAAAAAAAGATGTGACCTACGGAGGGTTAAGTCCTCTCACTGTATACTTTCAACAAATATGTGCTTCTATGATAAAAAAATTTTAAACACATTCTACTTAAAAAGTTGAATTTGATCACCAAAATTATTGTCAGATACGGTTTCAGTCTACAACGAAAGTTAGGGGGAAACATAGTTATAATTATTAGACTAATCACTGGGAAAGCCACACGGAAAGACTTTGTGTATCAAATTCTGCACAGTGGGTTTAAACAGATTACTATGAAAAGTCAAAATAACCCTAAAATTTCTTTCAGGTTTGTATTCTAGAACAAAGAAGAAAAAATTCAGAGGCAGAATCAACATCATCCATCTGTCCCTTTTTGAGAAATTCAAGTTTTTCTTTAAAATCGCGTAAGAACCCCGCACCATTTACATGGGAATTTGGGGTCCGGTGAAATTTTCTGCAACTTTGAACTTTTGTAGTTTTTGACCTCCTAAACAAAAAATGTAAATGGCAAAATTCCAAAAAATGGACAGATTTTTTAAAAATTGAGCTTTAAGTTTAAAAAATAGTGTTAAAAGCGAAAAAAATTCAAAAATGAGTAAAACCAAAAGAACTAAACAAACTTTCTTAAAACTCGCTACTCGAGGGTTTTCGGGGTCGCTGATTACGAATTTGATGTGAATTTTTGAAAATCCAAAATGTTCGACGATTTTTTTAAATACATTGAATTCCCTTAAATCTCGTTACTCGGGGGTTTTCGGGGTCGCTGATTACGAATTCGATGATAGTTTTTCAAAATCCAAAATAACGGATGCAGACTGGCGAAAAAAAGTTTGAAAATGATTTTTTTTAACGAGTTTTAAGAAAGTTTGTTTAGTTCTTTTGGTTTTACTCATTTTTGAATTTTTTTCGCTTTTAACACTATTTTTTAAACTTAAAGCTCAATTTTTAAAAAATCTGTCCATTTTTTGGAATTTTGCCATTTACATTTTTTGTTCAGGAGGTCAAAAACTACAAAAGTTCAAAGTTGCAGAAAATTTCACCGGACCCCAAATTCCCATGTAAATGGTGCGGGGTTCTTTCTCACTTTAGAATGTTTTCACCTTTATGAAAAAGAATTACTGGATGAATCACTGGACGAATTACTGGATCCAGTAATTGTGATTATTAGACGAATTGCTGGAGTTTAAGTAGTTGTAATTACTGGATTAATCACTGGGAAATCCAGTGAATATTTCGCTATTTTTTTTAAATTACAATGAAACCGCAATTTTGAGTTCAGCAAGTAAATTTTTTAACAATCTACATACAGCGAAATAATCACTGGATTTCCAGTGATTAATCCAGTAATTACAATTACTGGATCTCCAGTAATTCGTCCAATAATTACAATTACTGGATCCAATAATTCATCCAGTAATTACATCCAGTGATTCATCCAGTAATTCTTTTTCATAAGGGCATGCAAATAAGGCAGGTCTACATAATTTTTTCCCCTTAATATCGGAATGGTTTCTAATGTATTTTGAGGTGCTGAAAACGATTCCGCTGGTCCCAAAATTGTCTATCACGTTGGGATTTTGAAAAAAGTGGGCGTATAATTTCCAAAAACGTAAATTTGGGTTGTGCAATATCCATTTCTCTTCCTGACGAGTTGCAGACTTCAAAAAATCTTAAAATTGAAGCTTGAATCATACAATACACGACCAATATGCGCAAGACAAAAATATATACATTTTTTGAATAAAATATGGTTATAAGAAAAAAAATATTATTCTTCAGGTGCTTTCATAAATTTTCCATTTTTAATCTAAGATGTTACCTAAAATGAATTTAAATTGAAACTTAAATTTAGTGGCCTCTAGAGAAAGTAAAAAAAGCTCCTTGACTTTTCGTTGACTTTTTACTGACCTTCTTCTGACATTCCCGGCCAGATAATGAGCGTGTTTTTACATGCTGAACAATGTCAAACTCATAGTTTTCTTATACAAAATATATGTGCCCAGCTGAAAAATTCCGTCTGGATTTTCACATGGATCTTCCATGTAGAAATTCATGTAAAGATTTGAAACTATTCAGATGGAATCTGCCTGGATTTCCTCATCAATTTTTTAAAATATTTAGCATACACAAAATATGAAGAAAAACCTCTTTAAAAATGTGAAAAACAGTAAGTGAGACCCCTTCGGGGTCTCGGAATTCGAATTTGGTGTTCGTTTTTGAAAATATTTCAAAATAAAGAAAATGAAGGAATTTCCATGTGGATTTACATCTGGAATTGTTTTAAATCTCCACATGGATTGCCGTGTGAAAGAACCAGCTCGATTTTTTCAGCTGGGATATGCTCCTAATGACAAGTGCAAATATTAACTTTATTCATTTGCATTGTTTGTTTGTTTCATCTCTAAGCACAATTTGAGTTATATTGCAACTTATTTGTTAATATTTGACCTGTTTTAACTATAGATATCGTCAGACAGAAAATCAGGATAAATTAATTTCTAGTTGAATAGTATATTTATGTATAAAACAAAAGATACCACGACCGGCTGGTTTTTCGAAAACGGAACATGATTGACATCTCTAATCACAATTTAAGTCTTATTTCAAATTATCTATTAATATTTGACTGTTTAGACTATCTATATAGTCAGACGGAAAATCAAGATAAATCATTTTCTAGTTGAATAGTTTATGTATGAATAAAACGATAGATACCACGACCGGATGGTTTTTCCACGACCGAATATGATTGGAACCTCTACGCACAATTGGAGTCTTATTTCAACTTCTTTATGAATATTTTCCCTGTTCTTGCTATGCATATAGTCAGACAGAAAATTTGGGATTGATGTTTTTAATAGTTTATTTCTAAGTTAGGCATTATTTTAATTATTTTACAATTAGATAATACAGTATAAGACTTAAAATGTTGGTCACTAGTGAAAGAAAACATAAAAGTTAGGTCAAATTCAGGAAATTTGTCAATCGGCCAGAAAAGTATATATACAAGGCTTAAAATTATTCTCTTGTTAATGCATGGCGAGGAAGCCTTGCATCAAAAAATTTAGATGAAAACTTAAATCTAGTAACAAAAAATGCAAATGAATGAAATTGATATTTCCACTTGTCATTAGGAGCTCATATATATTTTGTATAAGAAAACTATAAGTTTGACATTATTTAGGATATAAGAACGCGCTCATTATCTGGCCGGGGAAGTCAGAAAAATGGCAGTAAAAAGTCAGAGAAGTGTCAAAGAAAAGTCAGGTAATTTTTTTCACCCTTTCTAGAGGCCACCTGGTTTAAGTTTCAATTTAAAGTTAATTTTAGCTACCATCTTAGATAAAAAATAGGAAATTTATAAAAGCACCTAAAGAATAATATTTTTTTTTATAACCATGTTTTATTCAAAAAATTTTTATTTTTGTCTTGCGCATATTGATCGTGTATTGTATGATTCAACCTTCAATTTAAGACTTTTTAAAGTCTGTAACTCGTCAGATAGAGAAAAGGATATTGCTCAACCCAAATTTACGTTTTTGAAAAATGTACGCTCACTTTATTCAAAATCTTGACGTGCTAGACAATTTTGGAACCCGGGATCGTTTTCAGAACCTCAAAATATATTAGAAACCATACCGATATTAAGGGGGAAAAAATTATGTAGCCCTGTCTTATTTGCATGAAAATATTCTAAACTGAGAAATTACGCGATTTTAAAGAAAAAATCAAATTTCTCAAAAAGGGTCTGATGGATGATTTTGATTCTGCCTTGGAATATCTTCTTCTTTGTCGCAGAATACAATCCCGAAAGAAAATCGTGGTTATTTCAACTTTTCATAATAATCTGTTTAAACCCACCGTGTCGTGCTTGACTCATGCTGAAAACATCCGGCCTATTCAGGTGACGTCACGTTTGTACATCTCTGGAAGCTAAATTCTAAATTTAGGCGCACCTGCGCGCGCCGCTCAAAATACTGCAGTTTAAGCTTGCTCTACTGGTCATATAACGGGCTTAATCGTGCGTGTGTGATGAAATTTGTTTTTTTGGATTATACTTATTCTACACATTTCAAAATACTTTTTTTATCCCACAGGCACAAAATTGGCGCTTTTAGGTTAAGAGACGCACGGATCAAAAGCCACTCATTTCTTCTCCCGTCTAAAAATTGCGACCATGTTTTCTAAGGGTAAAAAGAACAGCTGACCCATGTGTTTTTTTTAACCTTGGGAAAACACGGTCACCATTTTTAACCGGGAGAACAAATGAGTGGCTTTTTCATCCGAGCGTCACATAAGCTAAAAGCGCCACGTTTCTGCCTTTGGAATATGAAGTATCGTAAGGAACACGGAAGTAAAGGCAGACCAATTAATTTACGTTGTATTTTGGGGAACTTGTTACGGCCTCGGGATGCCATCGGCACCCTCGACCTTCACTCTTACCCCAAAATTCAACGTAAATTTATGGCTGCCTTTACACCCATGTTGCTTAATATACTATTAGTCGTTTTACGATATAAAATATTTTTAAATTTACTGAACAATTCAGTTAAACTATGAAAACTTTTTAAGGTATTAGTAAAAAAAGACTGCTGATTGGGGGCCATTCATTAATTAAGTAAACTTCTAGGGGGAAGTTACAAAATCTCTACATGGCTTTATGATGCAGAGAGGGTGGTTAGAGCTTTTCTTACGCAATATTTTACTAAAAATTAAAATTTGTTTTTTCTAAGAAAGATAAATTTTTAACGCTTTTTTGTAAACGAACTCTTTTTGTTCAATTTTACGTAATAAGGGGACGGGGGATCCGACAAATCTTACGTGTCCTCACATGGGAGATCCGTACATGTTATTGATGCCTAGCTGTCAACTTTAACGAGATAAGACATAATTTCAATGAAGTAAATTAGTGTTCCTACATACTTTTGACCGGGTGAGAAGAAAAATATTTTAAAAGTAAGACTAAGATCTTCCTAGTTTTAATATAGTTTTCCTAATAAGACGGATTATTTTATAGTCTAATACTCACCTTTTTTAGATTGAACTTCTCGAGATGTTTTAGACTTCTTTTGTTTGTGCGGATCATTAGCGGATTTAGTAGCAGATTTGCAGGCGGATTCACTGGCAGAATTACTGTTCTTGATATTCACATTTTTACCTGATAAGTAATAAATTTACGGTAAAAATTTTAATAGTTTTCCTTTTTCTTTTTAGGGTTACATACACACATGAGCAAGGGGATATTTAATAGATTACATAAAAATTAATTGTTACAAAACTGTTTTGATTTTTGCATGTGAAAGAGCAACTTAAAACCTATTGATTGACATCAAACACCTAAAATTTATAAAAGTAGTCATAAGGTCTCTTTTCTCATGGAGCATCTCATCTACCAAACAAATAAAAAATAAAGAACTTTTGAAAATGTTCATTGTTTTTAAAAGTAATATGTACGGAAAGATGAAAAAACCAAATGTTACATGAGATCCATACAACTGGCAAGGGCAAAAAATTGATGAAATTAAGAATGAAATAATTTGCTACTTGTAATTCATAAAATACGTTAAACTCACAAGGTAAAAAAATCTAGGCACTAGGGGGTGGGGTATATGATTATGATGCCAAAACCAAACAAATAGGGTTCATAATGTGTATGGAACCCTTAAAAGTTTTAAAATATGTCACAATCTTTGAACGGTATGAAAACGTGATTGCAAAAAAATAAAAAATTTGCCTCGACTTCTTCAAAAACCAATCATCGTTGATATTATGTATAATAATGTGTGTTAAGAAGAATTAAAATACTGATAGTCGCAGAATAAGGAAAAATAAAAATTTAGATAAACATTTTTTACGGACATGTAGTTTATATAAAAGAAATATTTAGATTTAAATGTATATAATTAAAAAATAAATGATTTTTAAAAAAGCTAGGAATTACTAAGTATGCAAAATTTATACACAAATTACACTGAATTTGTGACTTAAACAAGTTTTAATTGAAAAAATAAATAGGTAAAAACAATTTTTTTTATGATTTACGGTTTAGGAAAAAAATCAAGACATATTCACGGGTAGTTCAAATCCTGCCCTAATTCTGCGGCAATGTTGCATTTAGGGGTTAGCGGAGCTTCAAATTTCTTTTCCTTCAAATACGTTGATCTAGATGCAAAATTGAAGCATTTTAAACAGTTCTTAAAACGGAAAACCAGTCAGGGCGTTAGCTAGGAACATTAATCTCTTTAATTTTGAGCTAAATTTTTTTGCGGAGCTACAATTTTTTTCCCTTTGCAAATATGTTGTTTCAGATGCAGAACTAAAACATTTTTAACGCTTTTTATGACGGACAACCAATCAGAGCGCAACTTAGGAACATTCAGCTCCTTAATTTTGAGTTACATTTTTTCAAGAGTTATAAATTTTTTCTTCTTTAAATATGTTGCTTCAGATGCAAAAGTGAAGCATTTTAAATAGTTCTTATGACACAACTAATCAGGGCGCTAGCTCAACCAATCGGACAAATTGTTTTTCCTTCGAATATGATGTATCAGATGCAAAAGTAAAGCATTTTAACTAGTTTTTAAAACATTTAACCAAACAAAAGAAATATGGCAGTAATTAAGGATATTAATTTTCCTAGCTAGCGCCCTAATTGGTTGTCCGTCATAAAAAGTGTTTGAAATGATCGACTATCACATCTGAAACAATCAATTAAAAGAAGAAAAAAATCCTACCTCTGGAAAAAATCTAAGTTTAAATTAAGCAGATTAATGTTCCTACCTAGCGCCCTGATTAAATGTCCGACTTAATATCTCTTTAAAAAGTTACACTTTTGCATCTGAAAAAACATTTTTGAAGGTGAAAGAATTTAAAGCTCCTGAAAAAAATTTAATTCTAATTTAAGAAGATTAATGTTACTAGCTAGGGCACTGATTGGTTCTCTATCTTAAAAAATGTTTAAAATACTTCACATCTGAATCTGACAACATATTTGAGAAAGATAAAATTTGTAGCTCTTGAAATAATCTAGTTTTAAATTAAGCAGATTAATATTCCAAACAAGGGCAGTGATTGAATTTTTATCTTAAAAACTGTTTAAAATGCTCTCCTTTTGCATCTGACACAACATATTTTAAGCAGAAAAAAATTCTAACTCTGGAAAAAAGTAGGGCTAATTTAAGGGGATTAATGTTCCTATAGCTAGCGCTTTGTTTGGTTATACATCTTAAAAACTGTTTAAAATGCTCCACTTTCGCATCAGAATCACCAAATCTAAAGGAGAAAAAAATTCCACCTCCGGAAAAAATGAAGGTCTAAATTAAGCACCCTAATTAATTGTCCGTCTTAAAAACAGTTAACAGCGCTTCAGTGATATAACACATTTAATAAAGAAATAAATTGTAGCTCCGGAAAAAAATAGAGGTCTAATTTAAGGAGATTAATGATTTAAGCTACGATCCTGATTGGTTGTCCGTCTTAAAACCTGTTTAAAATACTTAGTTTTTGGATCTGAAACAACATATTCGCGGGAGAGAAAAACTTGTAGCTCCGAAAACACTCTAGGTTTTAATTAACTAGCTAGGGTCCTGATCTGTTCTCAATCTTAAAAATTTGTTAAATACTTCATTTTTGAATCTGACACAACATATTTGAAAAAGATATAATTTGTGGCTCCTGAAATAATCTAGTTCTCAATTAAGGAGATTATATTCCTAATCTAGTTATATATAATGGATGTTATTGTTCGTAGCTAACGCCCTGATTTGTTATCAGTCTTAAAATCTCTTGAAAATGCTTCAAGTTTGCATCTGAAACAACATATTTGACGGTGAAAAAAATCGGAAAAAAATGTAGGTCTAATTTTAGGAGATTATTGTTTCTAGCTAGTGCCCTGATTGTTTGTCAGTCCTAAAATCTATTTAAAACGCTCAACTTTTGCATTTGAAGCAACATATTTGCAGGAGAAAAAAATTGTAACTCCGGAAAAATTCTAGATATAATTTAAGAAGATTAAGGTTCCTAGCCAGCGCCTTGATTGGTTGTCCGTCTTAAGAACTTTAAAATGCTCTAATTTTGCTTTTGGAACCACATATTGGTAGGAGAAAAAATTTGATGCCCCGCTAACCCCTAAACGTTACATTGCCGCAGAATAAACGCAGGATTTAAAGTGCCCCATATTCACAGATCTTTTAATTTATACTTGAATTGACTACGTCTAATATAACATACGTACCTGAGGAAGGATTTCGTGCGTTCTCTAACACAACGGCCATTCCTACTATATCTTTGGTCACATCATCAACCTCATAATAATCATGATGGATTTTTAAATCATGACCCATGTATTTGGCCACGTGAGAGATTTGTTTTTCGGTGCATTTAGTTGCGCAAGTTGTTGCAAATTGTTTTCGAAGTAACGTGCCTCTTAAAGTTTCAGGATTTTTAGCACCACATGCATATGAAAATTTCCTTATTAGTTCGCAACCTTCCAACGATTTGAATCTCGCTCCTTTTTTGCTGGGCACAGCGAAAAAATAAGGATTTTTTCTGTTAACTCCTGCATTTTTCCTGTTCTGTTTGAGAATTTCCATGCTTTGCAATGATTCTTTGCAGGCGAGTACGGGCACTGGTCGATTCAATTTCCCTCGGATGAGGAAGCGATTATACTCTTTTGCGGATTTTTTTCCTTTTTCCTGTAATCTTTTGTATGCGTCATCATTTTCATCGATTTCTTGGCGATTATCGTAATCTTCTACAGCCAGGTATTGCATTTCCCCTCGCCTTTTTCTATTGAAGACGAGAAGATAGATCAAAATTACTTCACTCAAATGTCTCCAAGCATCAAGACAAAAGTTTTGTTGAATAGATTTATACGTGCAGTTGCGTTCGTTTATTAAATAATCCATCAGGGTATTGATGTCTTCAACATTCGGTAGGATGATTTTCTTCTTCCTCTTCATATCGATTTGAGTTTCTGACACATTCTTATTCACATAAACACCGAATCTCGTTACAAAAACCACCATAAAATCTTCTACTTGGCCTTTCTTCTCTTTGTCAGTCAGGATAATATATTCACACTTCAATATTTCACTACATTTTCGTATCGCTGTTCCTAGGGCAGATGCTGTACTTGGAGATGCATACTTTTGGGTCTCCTCATCGAAGCGAGCAACTGTATTTACTCCTTTCAAAACGTCATTAAAATGTTTCGGATGGAACGCGTCAGCCAACTCACTGATTTTGTGATCACTTTGGTGTTTTTTTGTTATTTCTCTCAAAGCTAGAACTAACCTTCCAAGTAGCCTTAAAAATCCACGAATCATGGCTTCCTGATGAGGTAACTTGTGTTTCACCGAAAGAAGATTCCCATAGAGTATGATCAGCCTATCGTACTTGACGACTTCAGTAATTTCGTCATTTTGTCGCAGAACAGGTAAGATAACGTGTCTCATTTTGTGACTCGCGTCTTGATGCACTCGACCGAGTTTTTGGGCTGCATTTTGTAATACAGATCTCGTTCCGCCTGAATTCGATTTTGTGCAATTTGCATAATGGTGTCGTAGATTGTTTATCGCATAAAACCCGGTGCATCTTGGACAGTTCACAAGTTGAGCAGCTGTTTTCTCCTTTCCAACTTGGCATCTGCGAACTGCTATAACATGACCCTTATTTAATGTGGGGCTCGTGTTGTGCATAAAGTCACCTTTTTTTCTTATTATAGCAATGGCTTCGCGTCTTTTCTCAGAACGTACATCAAATCGGGTGAAGTTTTTAACTAAAGATTCGTTTGGATGTTTTCTTTCCAAATGGCGAGCAATTTGTAGTTGCATGGTGTTACAATATAGACAAAAGTGTTGTTTTGCTTTTCCAGTTGGACCTAGTGATACAGGAACATTCAATTCAGATGCTGGTACAGATGATTTTCCTGGATAAGCGTATAACGAAGAAAAACTATTGGCATTTAAAACAGATTTTTCACTTGTACTTTCCTTGGTTGAGTTCAATGTGTTTTCATCATTTTCGTATTCGCTTGATTCATCCTCGGATTCTTCACATTCATCGCGCGCGGGTAAGTAATCTGCATCGTAGATATCATCGTCGTCGTCGTCATCATCATCATCATCTGAAATTCCAGCTATGTCATCTAAATCTG